GCAAAAAGAGCCTCTGCTTTTTATAGAACGCACACACACACACACACACACACACACACACACACACACACACATACACACTCGGGTACAGGCAGACAGGGAAATTAAACACGCCTACTGATTAATGGAGGACAGAGTGGATCGTCAGTGTTGTTCCTTGGCCTTTTGTCTCTGATTAAATGAAGACACATGAGGAGTGAAGCGTTTGAAGCTGCCTACCTCAGAGCCTGCATGCACCTCCAGAACATTCTGTCCTCACCTGTTATTTATAAAAGCTGAGTGACGAGCGCTTTACAAGCACCTGCACATTGGAAGTCACAAGAGTCAGAAATAGAACTTCTTTGATATGTTTGGTATCATGACGTTCTATGAATGTAATAAAAATAAAGAAACTATCAGAGGTTTAAAGTCGAGTCCGACTGATTGATCCGCCAGCTAATTATATCTGCTGATATTAGCATCGATTGAGTGTTTGTATCGGCTAATTGTATCGCAGATATGCACCATTATTACTAGATTTATTTATTAGTCAGTCAGTCAAATACTTTTTCATTTGAGTATCATTTTATTACACAAGCAGTTCTCGTTCACAAGCAGAGGGCGCTATATGGATGACAACAAGCACTATCACTCTCCAGTGTCAAGCGTTGATGCAGGTACATGCACAGTCACTTTCCAGTTAAGTGACCATCTTGTCTTCATTATGAATCTTTTCCTCAAGTGTATGATAACTACATTTGAGGGATCAACACAATAAATGTGTTTATCTATATCTATTGATCTCTAAAGATGGAACATAGATCTAAGAAGATATCGGCATGTACTTTTATATCGCTATCAGATTTTTTTAGATATCGGTTTTGGCCCAAAAAATCTGATATCAGTCAGGCCCTAGTTTATGTATCTGCAGAAGTGATTCATTAAATTGAAGGAATCTATCATTTGTTTTAAAATTAATATGTTTTTGGAAGTCTTTTTTGACTCAGTTGTAATCTTTTTTTTCCTATAGTTTCTTGTAGGTCAACTACTTTTGCTTTCATCTAACAAAACACAAGCGATGTCATAACATGTCCTTTCAAATCACGCAGGGGAAACTTGTATCGCTTAAGGACACACATCAACATGCACCACCGTGTGTGTGTGAATTCACGCTCTTCTAACTCGAGCAAGTAGGTGACCCAAATCTTCAAGGGGAACTTGTTTCCTTCAGGGCAGCATTCATTGGGGTGAAACATTCACTGTGTTGGTTTTCAAGACACCGAGCACAAATCTGTTACTGTTACTGTGATCGCTACTAGTCGGACTGCTGAACGCCGTGAACCACGTGTGGCTTTGTGTTCTTTCATGCTGTCACTCACACAACAGTTTCTCACCACAGACGAGACAACGAAAGTCACCTTGGAAGGACATGGAGCACAAGGAAGGAGTCCTTGGAGAGTATGAGCCCTTAAAGAGTATATCACTAAGAGAATTTGTTCCACATGAGACCTATTTAAATAAGAACACACCAGTTCATGTCTGTATGCTCCTCAAGTAGGTCATGTATCCTGAAGTTCTTCAGGAAAAACATATTCGACAAGTGTTTTGCTCTCATGTCACATCGCTGTAGTTAAACGTAACTTCAGGCCAACACTGTAGTTGCAATTGTCACACCTGATGATGAAACATAAACGAACTTATGACTGGATACATTTGAGTTAAAGGTGGCATCAACAGAACCCCCCTCCCCTCCCCCCCTCAAAAAACCCCCCAAAAAACAGTTTTGTTCTCTGTGAGAGGTCTTGCATCAGCAGAGATTGCTTTCCCTCAAGCAAACCAAATGCAAATACAAAAACAAATATGCATGAACCTGTGTGTGGGCAAGCGCACGTCTGAGACACAATTGCACGCACATGCACACACACACACACAATAACATTTATATAAAAAGTCTGGGTGTGTGTGTGCGTGCATAGAAAGACAAATCATAGGGAAGGGACAATAACAAGATGCATTGTGACACTCTCTTGTCATTCTCTGTAAGACGTACAAGGAAATCAATAGTTGTCTCAGATGCATTTTGTGGCTGGATAAGAAGAACGCTCGGACAATAGGCTTCATCCTGCATGAAGCACAGCCCGAGTCTCCAGGCAGAAAATGGTAAATGTCAGGTGAAGGCCTGTGGGTGTAGGGATCCAGTACCTACATGGTGTGAGCTACTGAACACCTTGGTGCAGCACACAGGGCCTGTAGGTGCAGAGATTTCTCCCTTCTGATATTTGTGTAATGTGAGAGCAAAGTGAAAACACATTTTGTAAATGTCACAAGATGGAAGTCAAGATAAAAATGGAGTGTTGCACATTTCTGTAATTTCTTTAACCTTCAGCAACTCAATCTGGTAAGGCTGACTGAGCACTGCCGCTGTGTCTCAGTAACACCCTTTTAAACACGCAATCACACTCGGCTTGAGAGACTTGAATTGCAATACGTCTCCTATTTTCGGTCACTGATCAGCCTAAATGATGCAGGGGTCATTTCAACTACACAATTCCAAAAACCATGTTTTCCAGAGTACCTCTACTACAGCTTTCCGTCTGTGTCTGGCCATGCAGACAGTTATGGTTTCATTTGCTAAGGCTGAGCAGGAGACTGGTGGGATTTCCTTCGATTGAATGTTCACTTTTGCTGCTTAAAACATGAAAAAGGAAACCATAAAAAATTCAAAAGTCACATTACACAGTGTCCTAAATACTCTGTTTCAGAAGTTAATGTGATCAGCTTCACAGGAACTACTCGTTAACTTTCTTCAAAAGGATTATTTCTTTTGAAAAGTTAAACCTCCCAGAAAAACAGGGACTTAGCTTCTGTAAATTTTCCAGATGAATATTAGCTATGAAGCTAGTACAGATACCGTAACAAATAATTTATTAAATATGTTTTATTACTTAGAGGGAAGTTTGGCATTGAAGAGAGGTAGAAGGTTGAAAACCACTCCCCTTTCTGTTCACCAGATATTAAAGAGCCCATTTTATGCCCTTTTTGGGGTTCGTATATTTAATCTATGTACCTACTTTTGTACGTTCACAATAGCTAAAGTCTGAAAAAAGTCTCTGTTTTCATGTACTGCTCCTCCTTGCTCCCTCTACGCTCTGAGTCTGTCAGCTACACTCTGTTGAGCCCACACTGTTAGACCCCACGTGGGCCAAGTCTGCTCTGATTGGTCTGCCGATCCGCTCTGTTGTTATTGGTCAGTTGCTCAGCACGCGTCTCAGAAATTTCAACATGAGCTGCCACTTGGAAAACACACTAAATGGAATATAAAAGCAGAAAAAGCATAATATGGGACCTTTAAGTTAGGGCTCGACCACACAGAGACGCGTCACCAGCAAAACAATCGTTTTCCTATGGTAAAGCGCGCTTAAAAGGTTTTTAAAAATTCTACTTTTGGTTCAAAATGCAAAGTTGCAGCTCGTTAATGCCACTTTTTTTTAGTAGTAGCAGTAGTAATTTATTTTGGTCAACATATAAAGCTTTCCATTAGGAAATGCGTAGAAATGCTAGAAAAACATTTTGACCGAAAAGGTGTAGGCTGAAGCTTTAGCTTATTATACCTACCCTTCTTACAAATCTTATTATTTAAGGCACTACTAGTTTGGTTACAAAAACTTCTGGCCGAAGCCCGACTCTGGCTTAGCTGAAAGAAGGCTTGAGAGCCCTCCTCCTCATCTTGCCACAGCTCACAGAAGAGATGACGCCATAGCCAGGAAGTGGTTAGCAAAACTGTTAAACTATTTTTTTTTCTTCATTTTCTTCAAAACGTCTTGTTTTTACGCTAGAATATTTTTTTAAACATAAATTAAATTAAAGATATGTCATGTTCATCTGTGAGATTAAGCTTTGTTTTTGTATATTTGTTTTGTGGAGTCTGGCTAGCTGTTTAAATCTTTTTTTCCTAACCTAAGCTAACCAAAGCTAACCTCCTCCTGGCTCTAGCTTCATGTTAACATTACTGACTAAATAATTGTATAGATCTTCTCATGTAAATCTAAGCAATAAAAGATTTGGCACGTTAATCATAATGGCAGACTAAGTCATTCATGTTGCTAAAATGTAAATGTTAAGTGCACATCATTGTAAAGGTTTGGTAATATTATCATCCAAACCTGAAAGCAAATATTCTATAAAGTAATAGCAGCCTCTCATTCTCACACTATACATACTGGACTATAGATTCATTATGCATATGTGCACCACCGCACTGCACATATATATAATGCATATGTAGCTGAATGTTTAAAGGGACAAGAAGCTGTACATCTCTCTCTGACCTAACCTGTCTCTGCTGGTTCAGAACTTACAGTGCTAACACTGACACTATCTTCTCCTCTCCTCCCTCTGGTCCCTCTGGAAAGCTCAAAAAGTCGACCTCAGAGTCTCTAATTTCAGACATTTAATGAGATTTTTAATTGGTGACCTTTTGAGAATGGTTCCATCCCATAGCTCATGAGAGCACTCCAGGGTAGACAACACATACCGCTCAATATTCACACAAGAATCCTTCAAGAAGGGTCTGATATTTTGCTTTTAACCACAAATTGATTGATCAATACACGGGTAGAAAGGCAGATTTAAAGATTAGGATCTGGCATTTTGAAAAAACAATGAAGCAGCTGCCTAAAACAGGGTTTTATAGCTCTGAAAAATCATTTGTAAACACCCCAGGACGTATCTGGAGACAGGCAATGAAGATGCAACACTCTGCAACACGACCACATCAAAAACTCTCTCTGCTGCTCTTCATCAAACTTTTATGGTTGCTCTGTACGACAAGTGATGGACAAATAACTAAATCTCAGTGAACAAAGCACAGCTGAGTTGAACAAGACTGCAGAGCCTCTTGTTGAAGTGTGGGTATGTCAGACAGGTGGCGCATAGTATCTCCTTGTGTACCAATAAAAACATACCAACACACATACCATTATGTATGCAATGCTTCAAAAAGTGTGGCCTCCATTTCTTACCGTGGTGAGATGTCACAGCCCTGCTGCATGAAGGCGCCCAACGAGAACCAAAGGGAGTTGAAGATGCCAAACTCATTGGTCTGCTCTTGACTCTGCTGATTGGTGTTCTGCTGTGTTTGAGTCTGGCCCTGTTGCACCCCGTTGGAGGCTGAAGCCTGGGTGGGTGTCTGCGGCTCGCCCCCCTCCTCGTAGTCCTCTGCATGCCACTCATATGGGCTGAACCGACTGACCAGGAACAGGACGACACTGACGCCGATGTAGGCGAACACGATGCACATCCAGATCTCGTAAGCCAGGGGGTCCAAGAAGGAAAAGACGCCAGGTTTGGATTTGGTGGGTTTCTTGATCATGATGGAGATACCCAGGGACATGAAGGGCTTGGAGAAGTCGATCACTTCTTCACGGACCAGGGTGATGGTCAGAGGAGCCACAGCCACGTCTGCTTTCTGAGGGCAGGAAAGAGAGACAGGAAGACTTAAAGAAGAGCAAACACTCACATTTTGAAACTCTGCAGATTGATTTCTAATGCAGCAAAAACACCAAAGGTTGACCAAAGAACATTTAATAATTTAGAAATAATTAGAAATAATAAGAAATAATTGGGTTTGGCAAAATTCAAAAATCTTTTAGTGAGACTTTTAGTTATTTCTGCTTGTAGATTTTACACCCTTATATGTGTAACGCCAACTGAAAACTCTTTCTGCTCACCCCGTACACCAGCTCTCCCACCATGCCGTTCCACATCTTGGTTTCAGGATCTCTGGCTCCATATTTGCCATCTGATACGACCTTCAGCTTGTACTGGTAGCTCACATGTTTGGCTATCTCTGCAGCCAGCTCCACGATGTAGCCCTCGTACTTATCGTTTCCCACAAGCTGCTCATGGTTCTTCTTCAGCATCACGTATGGAGATTCCTGTTGGATGGAGGGCAAGCATGAGCACAGATTTCTTTTTTTCTGCAAACATCAATATTAAACATTACACACCATTGTAAAAAAACGAATTGTACGCTGATAGGAATCATTTCTTGACACAAGCTGATGTGAGTGCAAGTAGCGTCCTTTTTTACAGCAGTACAGTTTGTTAAGCTAATTAATTCAAAGGACAGCATAATGGCTGATAATAAATATTTAGCATGTAGTTAAGTTTTATATGACTAGCTCAGATCTTGGGAAGAATGTTATGGGTCCTTTTTATCACATCAGTACAATTCATCACATATTGCTTGACGCCTAGTTCGTGGAAAGAATAAAACATCTTACTGGGCCCAAAATACAATTGTTGCTGGGATAAAGTTGGTGAGAAAATATAATTATTGTATATTTTTTATGAAGGTATGGTCTGTAATTAAAACACAAAAGGTGTCCAGATGTGGTCATTCAGAAAGCACTCCCATATAGAAAGGAGTAGTAAGTTTGTTAAAGACGAGAGGATTATCTGAGGTGAAGAAGTATCTGTGGTTGTGGGCCTGTGTTTGAGTCTTATAGACAGTCATGAAGACATCGCTGACCTCTGCCCCTGACCAAGGCTGCCCTTCTTGTTACAACATACCGATATTTGAACAACTCACACTGATTGGCAGTCCTGAGGATTGCAGCTGACATGACACATGGGATCTCTACTTTAAGAAAACACTCTATTTCATATATAAATCAAGTGAGCTCAGTGTGAATTGTCCAGTAGCACATGCCGGGCCTCAATTCCCACAAGCTGTTATGTGTGCCTGCTTTTTAGCTAAGGCTGTGCTGAGCTGAACAAAATCCTGCCGTCATATTTCATCAGGGTCTGGAGAAAAGGGGAGTTCCTCTGTGTGTTTCAGTTGTCTGGGTTGTCCTGCCCTTTTCTGGATGTGATCATTGTTACACATGGAAACAAGGAGCCCACTGGTACAGAAATCACACCCCAGGGAGACGTTGGTGAGAAAGGTCTGACACGGCGCACACAATTCAAAAAGTGTACGCACACAAAGCCAGATACACACACGTGAGCATGCACATGTACTCCTTTACACACACAGACACAATTGCATTTGTACGCAGGCACACGCGTGCACACAGAGACATAGCATGACATACAGATCCTCCTCTAGGACTCAGTCCCATCATTGACCTCGAATCGGATCCACTGAGATCAGCTGTCACTCAGTCATTTTAATGTAATACAGAAACACACAGACATTTGCAAACACAGAAATGTAGAAAAAATAAAATGTAGAATACAAATAAACACAAGTTTTGCTTTTGCTTCTTTTGCAAATATTGACTTGTTTATTCCTTTAAAACCAGTTTAAACAGTCCTCAAGAAGTCTTCTTAAATTACATAATTAAACCATGTCTTGCTTAAAGTTTGTTTAAGACTGTACAAGTCACACATGGTGAGAATGCCATTAATAGCAAACTTATACCATGGTAAAACTAAATCTTAAAATTCCACTCATGGCCTACTTTTAGTGTAAAGCCACGACAGCGGGAACACCGAGCTCGACCGCTCCGTTACACATGTTCTGCTTGGCTCCTCCAGATCTCCTGTTAACCCGGGCCTGCTCTGTGTGCACAGCCTGGGACAGCAAGGATTGTGCAGAAGCACAAAGTGCAAAACAACACACTCCCTCAAGCAACCAATCAGAGAGCACAAAAGTTAGAGTGTTTGAAACTCTGACTGCTCCACCCACAGCCCAATAACTGTTCACACCTTATCTCTTCTCTTAGGTTCAGAGACAGAGAACCAATTTATCTTCTTAGGAAAGGGGACACTGATAGGAGATGATGTCAGAAAGAGTTATTTTGGGTCCACACTCCTGGGAGACAGCAGCCAATGGGTTTAATGAGGATTCTACATGTTTTTAATTAGATGGCAAAAGACGACAGTTTCAGTTTTACAAATTTTTACAAGAGGTCCAAATTTCTTTGTGTGGTGTGCCTCGCCAATCCTTTGACTCCCCTCAACAACACCTGTCACTTTTCAAATCTGATCATTTCAAATAATCTTAAATTTGACATTTTATACATTTTATATCAATGAAATAAAAGACTGAATTCATTGGAGGGTATCAAAGTTAAAGGAGCAATATGTAACTCTGACACCCAGCTGTGAAGAGAGTGGTCTGAAAGAGAGTTGCAGGTTGCCATGTTGCAGACACTGAAGCTTCAGTGTTTAGCCAGCTCCGCATTTGTCTTGAAACTTTTCTGCACTCTAACCTCTCTCCATTTTCAAAAGCATCTCCAATCTCCTAGTTTGACAATGTTTCTGCTTGTGAAGTTTATTAGAAAAACTTTTTAGGTCGGGTAGCATCAGTTCTATCTGAACCTGTTCTCTTGCCCGCTTCTCTCTGCAACACCTTTTTGTTTTTAATTTTCTTGGCAAATCGAGGGGGGTCCAAAACAGCCTTGTGGGGTTGCCTTAAAACTGCCTACGGCTCTGGTCAAAACAAAAACAGACTACTCAGGACCAGAATCTAAACTTAGAAGGAGGACATACTGGCTGCTGCATTGTTGACATGCTTTCTGCAGATCGAATGGAGTTTGGATGTGTGATGATATTTGTAAGGTCATTTAATGACTTAATTCAGTAGATATCTACATATTGCACCTGTTAATAAAGTTTGTAAATCAGTTGTACAACTAGTGATAGAAGCTTTGCATTTCTCTCTTTATGATCAATAACAAACCAATTCTTTTACATCCTTAAGTCTGTGTCTAGACATTTTAACTACTTCAACATGCAGTGTTATGTTTGTGCATCTGTCTTAACATGCATAAAATCTTTTAGGTGGCAGAAAGTTGAAACATGAATAAGGCTTTATAGGGTTAATAGACTGTTCAGAGTACTCCCACTGCTCAAACTCGTGCTTTATTTGTGCTCTAGCAGAGATGCCTGGTACACCTCTGTTTTTGATAGATTTCTATGTTGGACCAATCATAACCATTTGTCCAGTCTGCAACAAAACAACCAAGATGGCTATTCTGCCACCCTGGATGTCACAACTAGTTACCTAAGCAACCTAATGAGGTCATAGGTTTCCTTTGCTCTGATTGGTTGTAAGTATACAAAGGTATCCAGAGACATTTTAGGCTGCATGGCTCCTTACTGAGAAGTTTCAGGTTAATTCTGATTATGAAATTGTTCTGGCGACGTCAGGGAAAGATACAGTCACTTTAGAATTCTCAATGTCGTAACAAACAATAAGAGGCTGATGTAAAAGGTTTTCCTGACTCGGATTCGGGTATTTACAGCCTGTATTACGTGACATGAATGTGGAATTACCTGATGATTCACATTGGTTATGTCACTACATTGTTGTGTGTAGATGTTTCCTGCTGATGCTAGAAGGGTCCTGACTGAAAGCTTGCCTCTATAAAAAGATTGCAAAGACCGGAGTGTGCCCCCTGCTTTTTGTATATTACTAAACATTGTCTATCACCTCTTTCACCTCCACCAAGCCTCGTCTATCTGGTATTTAAACGGGAAGTATATGTAGTTGAACCCCATAACACTAGAGATCAGATGTACCCACAGTGCTGGTTATAAACCTGAAGTCTGCAGGAGAGGATTTCTACATTTCTGCTTTTTGACATTTCATCCTCATACTAGCTGGCTGCTGAATATCTGCTCCAAGTCCAACAGCATTACGTGGAAGCAGTGATTTCAGAGATAAAAGAAATTCCCACTGAAAAATAAACGAGTCAGTGCTGGGCTTCAGGCATCTCCAGACTCAAAGAGTGTTCTTTGATATTAAATTTTCATCAAGATTCAGACACTGGAAACATACTGTGCCTGCAAAGAAACACAGCATGACCATTGTTAATACCCTCCACTGTTTATCAGCCACCAATAGCTAGTCTGTTATGTTCCCTTTTTTTCCCCCCCACAAAAAATGTCATGGTAACCTGGGTGCCATGAGCTGGACAGATTGAATTTTGGCTGCCCTATCCTCAAACCTTCACATGCTGCAGAGCTCCATCTCTATTATGTAGGCCGGGACACTTAACACAACCTGGTGAGTTGTCTTGAACAGCCTGATGGTGCCATCTGAGCCGAGTGGAGAACATTGGGGGGCAAGGAGAAATGAAGGCCGGAGCAATTACGTACTTTGGAACTACTTCCTTTATGGTACTATTAATATGAATCAGTGGACAGTCTCAGACTACTTTTTCTTCTGTTTTTCTCTCAGAACATAAAAAGAACATAAAAGGAGAAGTTATTCTGACCTTCTCATATCCTCAAAAGTAATGTTAACATTGTGACTGTTCATTTCTTTTCTGTTGTTCTATTGTTTGTGTAAATGATTGTATGGGATCTTTCTCTTTGCTTGTTATAATGGGTCTGTAATCTAGACGGCATTGGACATAAGGGAAACTTCAACGTCCTCTTGAGAATAATTAAAGGTTAGAAATGAAACGAAGAGAAAAACATGTTTTCTGTGAAGCTATAAATGTCATGAAATGACCACTCCAAATGTTGGACTGTACAAATAAAGTCAGTGTGGGACATTTGATTTAAATTCAGAGCACAGAAAATATAGTTTCATACGCAGAGGAGAACAAGAAATACAGAAAGAAAATATAAAACAGAACATAATGAGAGACAGACCAAACTTAAATTAACCAAAACGCAGTAAACAAAAACAAACAGAGGGATTCTGAATGTGGTTGTGGGCAGGCACAAGTCAGACAGAGAAGAGGAAGGAAGAGCGATACAATCATAGATGTCTGCTGAATCCCATCAGGGGCCTGAACTTTTTGGAACTCTTATCAGGAAGGAAAATGAAAAACGTTACCCCGCCTCTCTCTACCTCACTCTCCATCCTTACTGTAGCCAGGACCCTTAACCTCTCTGTTTCACGGCGACTTACCAGGATGGTGGTGACGATGTAAGTCCTGTTCTGCAGGCCGTAGGTCTCGTTGCTGCCTCTCACGAAGCTGGCTGTAGTCACGTACTTCTCATCTTCGTTCCAGTAACCGACCTGAGCCGAGGAGAGGATGTCAGAAATCAGGAAATGTATTTATCAGTAAGACAGTGGTTCTCAACTGGTGGATCAGGACTCAAGAGTGGGTCACAGAGCTGTTTTTAGTGGGTCGGGAATGTGTACCTTTGTTGCAAAAAGTCTAAGACATTTTTATAAAACATGTTTGTCTTGTTCGGTCTCTGCGATCTGTCACATTTCGTTCTGTCTGAGATCCAAACTGCCCTATTTTCTTTTTTTCAAATAAATAAGAGTGGTTGAAAATTTCTGAAAATTTGGGTCAGGGTTTTCTCACTAAGGAGGTGTTGGTGTGTCCTGAGGCGAGACCCGTTGAGAACCACTGCTATAAGAAACGTCTTGAAATTCATTTGAAGTGAACTTTGAAAATGAATCACTCGTACTCTTACTTGCATGCTTGTGAAAAAAAATGTTTTCACAGAAAATACTCTCCTGGGGAGACTCTTCTCTGGGAGCAAGGCCAGCATTTCAGGGTCTATTATAGCCTGAGATAAGTACTAAAGGACTTCCGGCCAATACTTCCTTTCGCATGCTATTGCCATGTTTACAGTCAAACTACCAAATTGGCAAATTGGCAAATTGGTAAATCGTAAATAGTAAATGGACTTGAGCTTGTATAGCGCTTTTCTAGTCTTATGTCTACTAAAAAAGTGCTTTTACACCGCATGTCACTCATACACATTCACACACTAATGGTAGAAGTTTCTATGAAGTGAGACCATCAGAAGTAACTAATCCCATTCATACACATTAATTTGCACCGACAGTGAAGTGTCCTGCCCAAGGAAACATCGGACAAATTGCTGCAGGATTGGGGATTGAACCCTCAACCTCCCGGTTGAGAGACAACGACCCTACCAAGCCACAGCCACCCCAAATGTTGCTCCAAATTAAGAAAATAAAATACAGAGCTGGTGTTGAGAAATTGTGATTATTAGCTGCCCTTGCATTCAGATATCTGTTCAAAGCCTTTAACTAATACTTGTTGGATTAAAGGATGTTGTTATGTTGTGTAGCGTTCGGTGCTTTCGCTCTCCAAACAGACTGTTTTCATACTTACATGCAAAGCCTGCTGAAACACAAGCGAGTGAAATTAACACTTCTGCATATTTATGAAGAATCTGTAGCGATGATCTCTGACGGTCACTTTATGCTTTAATGATTCCTTCTTATTCCAATCTTATTTTTTAAAGTCTTACATCCATGACTGACCATGTGTATAATAAGAATACTAGATTGTAATGCAAATATTCAGGATTTCACATAAAAACAATGAAAATGAAGAATGATATATTCTTTGGAAACAAGCATCCCTGTGTAAACTGAGGATTAAAAAAAAAAAGTTAATGAGCCCCTGTGTGGCTGTAAGATAAATGCTCATCTCCATTTGGCTTTTTCTGCTCAAAGTTTACCTGTGATTAATCATGTGATCAGCCGTGAGCTGCTCTCAAAGGTTACTTGTTCACTTCCATGTAAGCAGTACTCTGCTTGATAAATGTGCTTCATTGAGGAACTTTTTTTTTTAACTTCTAAGTGGTCTCTTTATAGCTTTTCCAGGTTGGAAATCTCAGAAGTTGGATAAACTGTGGTGCACACCTTTTATTGAATGCCGTGTCAGGGGCTTAAATGAGCCTCAAGGTTATGACACAAAAGAAGCGATCAAGACCAGTTTTTTTAAGACAGCGTTCATGAGTAAAAAATGTACATCTTAAGTCGGAGCTTCAGGCGGCAGGCTTACCTTCTTGGGTCCGGAGGGGGCCAGCTCCATGATGCTTACAGTGTAGTTTGTTCGGCGGCCTTTCTCGTTGAACTGAATGTGGCCAGTCAACCCATCTATACGGACCTGTAGAAGAATCACAGATATGGATAAGTAACTCTCAGCCTCTGGCCTCCCTGGCAGATGGATAAATAATGTCTGCTGTGAAGCGTGAACATAAATACTGTCAAAGTTTCTTCATTTGCATGTCCTGCCTACATGCAATGCATGTTAAGCATAGCTGTGTTTGTATAGCACTCATTTGAGCCGGGGGTCCCTACAGGAGTGAATGACAGACGGTGTGCGTGTATGTGTACAGTGCAGCGTGTTTGTTTTGGCCGTGTGATGGAGTTAATTGAGCGAACAGGGCCTCCATCTCCTGTCTATCTGCAGGCAGATGGCTAGATTGACTCTGAGCAGGCCTCTGCACAGCCACTCTGCAGACAGAGCCTCGAGGCTACACATGCGCACACACACACACACACACACACACACACACACACACACACACACACACACACACACACTAACATGCAATTATGAATATGCCCTCACAAGCATATCACATTTATTATACCTCCATAGTTAATGGAAACGGTATAACGGGGTAAATAAATAACATTTTTCACTGCATTTCTAATTGAAAACTGTTTGTCCCTGGGTCCATTTTAATGTCATTAAAAGAAATAATGATATAAAGTCCCTGTTCCTAGATATTCATGGTTTCTATGCGTGTGTGTCTCTGTGCCAGCCAGTCTAACATTTGCATTTGCAGGCCAAATATTACATTTCTGAACTCAATTGCTGATGTCATATTCCATGATGATCACAGCTGAGTGTTATTGCCCGCAGGTTTGTTTACTCGCCGTGATGTCACATTTGATACTGGAGAGCCCTCCTATGACTTAATGTGAACTTTACACGACAGAATGAGACCTAATTTGTTCAGCCAGCCCCGGCTCAGGAGTGGTTAGCCAATGTGCCACTCAGGAGTTTTGCATGATGTGTGTATGTGTGGGGGTTTTGTGCGTGTCTGTGTGTGTGTGTGTGTGTGTGTGTGTGCACATATTAGCCATGTGTGTGCACAGACCTGCTGCAGGGCTCTCTGGATGTCGATGCCCTGTCCCCAGGGAGCCGGTGGGTTGGCAAGACATTCTCCAGCGTTGCCCCTGCGAGATATGTCTATCCTCTGTCTCCTCAGATTCTGGAAAGCTGTTGACATGACTTTCACCCCATCATATGTTAGAGCGCCTGTGTACTGTGAGGAGAGAGAGAGGAAAATTCAAGCAGAAGAAACAATAATAAAACCAATAAATCAACAATGAACGCATTTCTATGATTTTCAAATGCAACGACATATTTGCCAAATCCTGCAGCTCTTCTTCTACACCCAGGGATATGATCTCTATTAATTATTTTATATGTTAATCTTGTGAGACTTTCTGGATTTAAAATCAATCTCCTTTCTCAAATGGTTGGAACGTTGTAAATGCTGAAAATCAATAATCATTCAAAAGCAGAATCCCGGATTTAAATAACCAATCTCAGATAGGATCAGGGCTCATCTGTTGACCAAATCTAATGAAAACTTTATCACCTTGTGCGCTATATTCTGTTGACAGTCACAAACAAATCAACTGAAATGTTAGGGTTACATCAGCCAGGATTGTTATTTCCTCTAACACAGAAAACCAGTTACAACAACCCACATATAAATGACAATCCTCTTTTAGTTTACATACTTTAAGCATGACAGAGAAGTCTTAAACATGTCTCTGGGTGCTACGTGTGCTTCATGGATACAAGCGAAATAAAAACAACAATAGAAGGATAGATGAGGGAGAAAAAGAAGCAGTACTTTAAGTCCACTTTTGGGCACTTTGGAATCTTTGTTGTCGAACTCGAGCCACTGCTGGACGACACGGCTGACAACAGGCTCGGAGTTGTTGACGAGCTGGAAGCCAGTAATGTTCGCCCCTCCTTTCCTCAGATCTGTTAGGTCAATGTCCAGGAAACCCTGAGACAGGAAGAGAGGGGAATTGAGACAAACAGGTAGAAAAGGAGGATTTCATAAAAACACAGTGAAGGATTAGACATTGGTGTGGCCCAGCGTCCTGAGAGGGATTGACTAGACGTGAAGAAAGAGGAAAATCAGACACAGAGACGTTTCTTCTGAGCAGTCCGTCTAGATGCCCTTTCAACAGTAGACATCTCTCTTTAAGTGAGCGTGATCTGTGTCTTGATTTGAGCTTTTGTGACAATCCTGCTTGGGTAACTGCACAAACCACAGTAGAAAATATCAACATTACTTGGATGACATCAGAATCAGAGATGGTTCAAACACAGAGACCCTGTTGTCATGTGTGATTGGAAAACCTCTTTGTGACAGACTGTCCAGTTGTCTGATGCAGCGTTTGTCAACCTGCGGGTCACCACCCCAACAAGGTGTCACAAAACAACTGGGAGGGGTCAGTACATCAGTGGTTTGAATCTTTTTTTTGGCTTCTGAGCTCTCTCTCAAAAAAAAAAATCAATACCTGCTTCTAACTTCCAATCACAGGTGAGGACTCGGATTGGACTTCAGCTGTGAGAATGTCAAAGTCCAAAAGAGTGATTATTCCTTCATAGATATCTTTTATTTCAAAAAGTTTCCAAATAAATTCCAAAGATTTTTCAAGGTCTGAGGAGGTCAAAGTTTCTAATACTTGACAAAGAGAAAAAATGGCAGACAAATGACGATTCCTTTGTCACTTTAACTGAATTCTCATCCATGTAATCTTAAAGTGAACCCTCTGGATTTACCCCGAGGTCACTGTTTGTATGAATTTTCACGATATTGACAATTTTGTGGATATATCATTGAATTCTGTCAACCATCGTAGGGTAATTCTTCTTTTAGGTCTGTGTCGCTGTAATACATTAAGTATGCGTCAGAGATCTCATAGCAGTGTCTGACATTTACAAGCTAATGTCTTCTTTCTAGCCTATTGGACGTTTACCCAAATGGAAAGGAGCGTGTAGGCTGCTAACAGAATATAAGAAAGACTGTTAGCATGAAAACTTTGTCAAACATGTGTGTTCTGAAAAGTTGTCTGACCTCGGCCATTAAATTCTAATCCAGAGTCTGTTTCATGATTTCATTATTGAACATTTATAAGAGAAAAACCCTCCACCAGTTACAAACCACTGAATAAAAAAAAGGAGAAAAAGGTAGAAGCATATTTATGCTGCACAAAATAATTTTTGATTACAGATATTTATAAGGATTTATCTACTGGGACTTGAATTTCACTCTAATATGTGATCATTAAATTCTACCAATGACAAAGGGGCATTGTTTGCTTCACAGGCCAAAAAGGTTGGGGTGAAGTTAGCCACCTGTAGAGGGCACTTTATGAGATTGTTTTCACTGCTCTGCACTTTACAATCAAAGGTTTAAGGGTTAATGGCATAATGAAAATGACAAATTCTTCTTTTTAAATTAGAGAGGTTTTTCCAATTGTGCAGAACTCGTGCCTGGGGTTCCTGAGGGACCCGAGAAATGAGAAAGAAAAACTAATTTCATGGCAGGCGCTGTCCAAAGCTAATCTGTGATAGACTGAGTCCTCATAGGCTATTGTTAACAATGGCAGGATCAAAACCTTATGGGCCACTGTGAACAATAGCAGGGATGCCTGAGGCAGAGCACAATGAAGAAAGAAGCGATTTACAGTAATGGTATCTCCTACTTGTATTTTCCCCCCCTGACTATTATGTGGAGAAGGCTGTTTTTCAGAGAAGGAGAAAGGCAGAGAGTGGGAGAGACAGATTCAGCCTCTCAGCAGGCTGCCTGTCAGCGTGGGGAGAGGAAGAGGCAGACAAGTGGGAATGGGTGGGTGTGGAGACGGAGCAGGAGAGAAGATTTGTCTGTGATTTGTCAGAGATTTAAGAGCAAACTTTTGACTGATGAGAAGAAAAAAGGTGCCTCTCTGGAGCGGCCCCTGCTCGCTAGGCACCAGTCTGACAACACACACCTTTCGATCTTTTCTCCGCCTCTGCTGCTCGGATGTTTCTTTCATGTTGTTTGAATCTTTTGTTCTCTCTTGGCCACAAGAGAGAACAAACAACAAGTCTCAAAAATTGCCCTCATTACGTCCTCAGAGCCATACAATAAAGACAAAGGATCCCATTTTGAAGTGGCTAAAACGTAACATTTTTATTTTAAGATTTCTGCTTTCGGTGAAGGTCCACAGGGTGACTGGTACAAAAAAATGAAGACGAGCTCAAGCTTCGGGAAACAAATTTAGGCTAAGAGGAGCAGTATCCTGAATCTAAACCTCTCCCCCTTTACCTCGCTCTCCCTGAAGTACCTGTGTGTTGCCAGGTGTCCATATTTCTCAGCTGAACAGACAGAGTTATGTCTTTTGTTCTGCTCCATGTATGAGCTAATGCAGTGCAGTCAGCTGAAGCGGTTACTATAGAAACCAGTCTATTCTAACACTGGACATGTTACAGGGGGTGGGGGGCGGGTTTATTTCCAACACACATTCTGACCACATCTTTCTAGTAGTTATTCTTTTTATTGACTTTCTGTATCACAATGTTTCTATTTTTTTGATTCAGTCACACACACACACACACACACACACACACACACACACACACACACACACACACACACACACACACACACAGCTGTAGATCACCACACAAACACACACACACACACACACACACACACACACACACACACACACACACACACACACACAAAAAGCAAATTAGGGAATTTCTGAAAGAGTACAAGGACACAGAAAAAGTAATTTTGGAAAAACCCTCTAATGGGCCCATAATAAATGACCACTTTGCCTATCAGCTGTTGTTACCGTCCGAGTCTTATCATTATAAATTAAATTTGGCAAACTGGCGAGACAAGAGAGATTGAGCCAATCAGCAATGAGAAATTGTTCAAGCCAGCAGCTGCATAGTAATGTTGTTATTACCACAGATGCCGCTGATGTCAATTTTCTCTTCATTTGGTTGAATTTTGTGAGTTTGATCAGCGCTATGGGGGACTACATACCATTAGCAGTGAGAAAATGGCAGCAGACAAAGAGCGCTAATGGATATAAAGCTTGCATACATTGGCCGCCTGACCTTTTTCTGTCACTGTCAGTCTGCAGATTTCTGTTTGAGCCTGTCACAGCTTCCCCGTCTGTGCTTTGTACCGTTAGTCAGACACTCTGCTGCTGTGATGTCTGCAGGTTTGACACTGCAGCGAACTAATATACGAGGTGGCTGAAGAGGGAAATGGGATGAGAGAACATAAAAGACATTAAAGCGCATAGTTTTAGGCTAAATTATTCGGCACAAGCAACTCCATCAAACTGGCAATAAAGTACAGAAGGTCGGAAATCCTGTTAAGAGCCAAATTTAATAGTGATGCAAATTGAATTAAGGTGTAAAAGAATGGAGAGGAAAAATGAAAGGCAGCTTTAAAGGATTGCGAGGCAGCGATATAATAAAGATTCCTTACCAGGTTAGCCAGGATGTAGTGGTAGCTCTTTGCATTCTTGCCTTGTTCAACAATCTGAAAGACAAGGACACAGGGGAGATAGAGAATAAAATATCTGTGATACACAAACAGAAGGTGTGTGTATGTGTGTGTGTATGTGTATGTGTATGTGTGTGTGTGTGTTTACAACAGAGAGAGGGGTTTTGACAGTCTCTCAGCAGTGTGTTTGGTAAAGTGTTCAGTACTTGACCTTGTGCAGGACAGACACAAAGTAGGTGGATAAGAAATAAGGCAGTGAACACTAGACAGTCAACATGATGCAATGTGAGTAGCTTAAACAAAGACAAGCTGGAGTGGCTGTGTAAAAGAAAATATCAACATCTTAATCACCAGCATCAATTACTGATTATATTTAATTAAAAACATTCACCGTACAAAACGACCAGATACAGTAGCTTAAAAAAAAGTTTTAAAAAAGCCAAAAAGATACAAAATCCCCTTTTTCACTTCATAAACGAATCATCAATCAAACATAGACACTATTCATATTCTACAGAACAAACATCTAATTAAGGAAATAACTCCACTGAGCATTAAAAGGTGTAGATTCAATTAACTGGGTGTTTTTTCTTCTCCTTTTCATGAGAATCAACAGCTCAAAATATATCCATTATGTAACATTGCACAATATATCCTATATAATATACAATATATCTGACTTCCCCATTGGGTAATAATAAAGTGTTCCTGATTCTGATATTTTCATAAAAGTCACCCCATGAAAATACTAAATGTTCCTCCCTGCTGCCCCTCTTACGTCAATTTTTCAATATAACCACCTCAAGAGCTGTAATTTGATCTTTGATCTAACACTTGAATAGCTTTCAACAGTCCAAGCTTCCTGGAACTCCATGCTCATCTAATAATACCACAAAGTAACGAATGCAGGATTGTGCACAAGCCCCTCTCCCCATGCCTACGCTCCATCTCTCTCCTGCTGCTACTGTTGTCATTCTATACCTGCGGGCGTCACAGGTCGACACAGCACCGAGGGTCAGGCCTGTTTGAACATTACAGGGAGAGGTGACAGGTTTATTTATAACATGACGCGGGCAAATTGGGCGCCCCTTTGACAGACATTCTTAAAGTAGATAAGAATGAATCCTCTGTCTTGCTATTGGCTAATGTCTGGTTCAATAATGGTTTTGTAAAATAATATATATATATGTGTCAACACAGCATACTGGGTAGTCACGTAAATGAAGGGAGAGTGGGCAGCGCTTTTTTAAAAGCCATGCTCTGTCCAATTAATAACCCTTAGCTCGGCTGATAAGAGGCTTATTCAGCGGTCTGTTCAGGCACTACGCATGACCTCACACATTTTTCTCCCCTCTTCCTCTCTCGGAGAATTTACCCCTTGTGTTTAATTCGTCGGGGTGCACTCATTTGTTTGTGTGTTACGTTGTGTGTGTCTAATGATGCTGTAGGTCATGACAGAAGGTGGCATTTGTTATTAATGGTGACCCCAGCACAAGGCGGACCCTGCAGCCAAGCCCCAGGCGAGGAAAAAAAAACGAGCGAGGAGGGAGGAGAGACACACACCAGCGTTGACACCAATACACTCACACATGGGTTTGGACACACACACACACACACACACACACACACACACACACACATATTACTGCCACAGTGGACCGTCAGATGGAAATGTTTTGGATACAAGTGGGTTTTTAATAATGCATGCCGATTTGAAGAGTCATTCAGAGTTCAGCCCCAAGAGAGCGGGTCACTTTTTGTCTCTCTGTTGGAGGAGAATGCTCTGAAAAGGTGTTTGAGCTCGCAGCATCGCAAATGAATGTTCCCCGGAGTCTGCATCAATATTCAGTTTATACAAGAAGTCCCTCTCTGGATACTGAGCATTATCGTCGTAGAATCTGTGTACTGTATGAGATGGATGAGACGAACACATGGGTGAGTTTAAAGGGCAGGAAAGGTTCAGTAGAGGTGTGTGTGTGTGTGTGTGTGTGTGTGTGTGTGCGTGTGTGTGTGTGTGTGTGTTAGTAGGCTATTGTTTGGGTGCGCATGCAGGGCAGTGTGGCGGGGGGAACACATGTAGATGATTGATGGCAGCCGTCTGAATGGAGAAATTCTCAGGCTCAGCTCCTGTAAAGTGGTGAGAAGTGATGCAATAACCTTAACTGTAGACACTGGGCCATCAATAACAGTCACACAGAGGAGCCACAGCTTACACATACAGATGGGGCCTGTCTGTTTGTGTGTGCAGCATGGAAGTCATTAAAGCGCGTGTGTGTCTGTGCTTTTGTATACACTAGGATGTACAGAGAAAGCGAAAAAAAATGTTTTAGAAATCTGACGAAAAATCATCCATCAGAAAGATGACATCAGCTCGGAAACCAATACAAAAAAGACTGTTTGAATATTTCAGGAGATATAAAAGTCTGCACTGACAAAGATGTTCAGGTGTCTCTACTGTTTCTGTGATGTATTTCCAACAGTTATCAAAGCCAGTTAAATCCTTTATTTTATTGTTGTAATGGCCCGTGTTTATTGCGGTGGCCGCCATGACAGAAAGGACATGTTATTCATTGCCATGGAAACACCAGATGTTACTGTACGTCAAAGAACGCTGCATCAGGAAGCGGTAACTGCTACATTGTTTGTAAAGAAATTATCCTCCTAACGGTCAACTCCCATGATTCCCCGCCAGCCTCGACATCATCTTTTGTTATTGTTTCTTAATGAGAGCCCCCTGGCGTTGGAATTTACATACTATGCGTTTAATGCGTGATGCACCAAGACCTTTCGGAGTTGTCATTGCAGGGAAACCAGGCGTAAACTATTTAGTGGACAGCTCAGTTCCATTTACTGTCTTGGTAATCTATGCCACTAAGTATGCACAATAGTTTGTTTTCTGAAATCAGTTTTTCATTTTAGACTGAGGTAGGATTTTGGAGGCTTTGTTTTGTATTTCCAGCAGGTGATATTCAGATGTAACAGCTGGAAGCAATGAGAGCTCTCCATAGCAGATTGTTTAGCTGTGAAGAGCTAGCTAATGAGGCTAACATCAGTTATGTAAATCTGCATTTGGCTAATGTTTCGACTGCCTGTTCTTAAAAAATAAACTTAAAAGGCGTCTTGAAGGCCACATGCAGAATAATGTTTCTAAAGATGAAACAGACACCTGCTACATATGAAGGGCTACAATTTAGCTTGTTCTTGTTTTGTTTGATAAGGCTTTTTTTAGTGCTTGTATTTAACTGTTAGCACTCATAGTTTACACTTTTGTTTAAATTTTACGACACAAATGTTTTACATTGAGGACTGATATAAAACTGTATTTTATGCAATAGCTACTGTAGCTCGGTAAATTTTGTCTGGCTAGCAGGGCAGAGCTGCTTCCATTTCTTTGATCTCTGATTTATACAGAAACTTCTTAACCAAGCAGCATCCACTGACTTAGAAAAATGAAGTTAATAGTCTGGTATAATAAAAGATGTTTTATTACAACATCTTAGTTCCAAAACAACAAATGTATAAAGCTACATTTATTTGGTGTCTAATTTTCATGCCTTTTTAACGGTTGAATAGATAAATAGCATGGGGCTACAAGCTTCCTAGATATGTCACTTTCACTGTTGTAGCTCATTAGCCTCAGACTAAAAAAGGTTGGTAAAAAGGCCCATTAAACATAACAGTCCCTATAGGGAACGTCATATTCCTGGATAGATGCAAATACATTTGATCCGGTTGCTATGGCAACATTTTTAGTGGAAGTGGCCTGCTTATAGATCTAGTAATGAATGGGCATTGTGTGGGACAGATCTATAATACATAATACAATATGTATTTAATGTTATCAAACATGATATATATTCTGTATAGAAACATTTGACCCAATTATTATAACCACAGGTTAGAAATGTGCTCTGTTCTTTATGAAATTAAATAGCAATGTTTTTTAAAGATATCTTTGAAAATGTATTTTGTACACTCTGAGTCTCATTGTTTTATAAAAGCAGAATCCATTAGATATCGAGTATTGAACAAGTATTGTTTCAGTTTGGACTTAAGTGATACTAAACTGTGTCAGTATTAAAATCAAAATGTTGGTATCCTCACAACACCAGTGACGGCCGCTATCACTAGGCTTCATCACTCCCTCAGTTTCTAATGGGTGACGTCACTTAGACCATGTCCGTGTTTTAGTCTTTATCTTCAACACAGTAAATATAGCTTGTCATGAACATATTTTTTAAATGTTACCTTTGAACCTTAAGATCATGTCGTTAGTCACTGAATGATCCTTTTTCACATTATATACAACATTGATTTTTACATTTTTCTATTTTAGTATTTTTGTTTTCTTCTGTCATGATGCTTTTGATGTCGTGTGAAGCACTTTGAAATGTGCCATATAAATAAACTTGCCTTGCCTTTATGTCAGAACTGTTTTGTCAATACTGTAAACATGAAGCTAGTACTGTAAGCCGTAAATGCTTACCTTTGCAGCCTACTTTTCACAGCTGACACCTTTTCTCTTCTGTTAGTTTCAACCAGACTGAAAGAATAAACCACTACTGAACTACATACTGCTGAAGATTATTATTCTATTCCATAATATTACAGCAGCCCTGCCCTATGTACTCTGTTTCAACTTGCAGTGAAATCCAAAGCTTGACAGACAAGTCGTACCTGGATGCTAAGCCGTGATTGGACAGTCAACCATGATTCTTTGAACATTTTCCTCGACACATTACAGAGGTGAGTAAGTGATTATCCTATCACAGGAAAAAAAGTGTCGACTCCAACACCAACGCTGGGTTATTTATCTGTCCTGTCTTTGATGTTGCAGGAGACTAAACCCCCACAGTAGACCACCAGCCACCCCCCACTTTTCATTCTTACAACTATATTCTCCCTCTGCCTCTCTTTTGCTCATCGGAATAAAACATGTAAATCCTTGATGGAAATGTGTGTTAAATGTATTTAATGTATTTATTTTCCAAAGAAGCCTTTTAACCTTTACATGGAGGCTAATTTTCATATATAAGTTGATATGAAAAATATCATTTAATTTGAGCAATTTGAAAGGCAAAGCATAAAGCAGGGTTTTCATTAATTTAATAATGAATGCATAGAGGTTGCTGTCTTTAAGCTGAGATTGCAGTATATATATATTTGAGCATACTGTTTTTACATAATCCCCCATCACTGCAACAAAACAGAGAGAAACCTTTTTACCTTTTTAAGGATGCCGGTGAGCCTCTCAGTCTCACAGTCGATGATAATCTGGCCCTCCTTCCTCTTATCCAGGTCCTGGAACACTTTCAAAAAGGAGGCCTCTGTCATGGTTTCCACATTGACTGAGGTCACCAGCCAGTTCCTCTCGGCTGCTGTGTCCAGAACCTTCTGCAGCACCGAAAGGCCTGGAGGGAAGAGAAGGGGGAAAGTAAAACGAGAGGGAAATGAGAAACTGCAGGAGCTAATCCTCTGCAGGTGCATTTCCAGTCGAAAGTTAAGAGGAATGAAGTGATAAATGACTTGTTTGGTATTCTACTGAGCAGAACATTAGTGTCTATTTTATTAGGCTGCTCTCAGACATAGATTATGCACATGTTAATCTTATATTGTGAGAAGTTCTGTCATGAAAGATCAATTTAAACACCTTGAGAAGAAACACAGAAGCTGAGCAGAAAACCAAACTGCTCTTGATAAGTTTATCCATCAGACTCTCCCCTGCAGCTTCAGTGATGAAGTACAATGAGTATAAAAGACCATTAGGCACACTGACACATACAGGTGTGGTTTCCAGATCTTACAGCGCCAGGCTAAATAATCACCACTTCCACACTAACAAATAATCAGACCGTGCATCATCTCAGACTACACACTCGCAGCCAGCTTTACGTCCTCCAAGCACCAATTACAAGAGCCGTTACTCAATTACACTGTCACTGATATGCTGCTAAGATACTTTAGCAACATAGGGAGAGAGGTAGAGCAGCCAATGAGTTAAGGGCTCATGCTAAGACAGGAAATAAAAGGCGATTAGAGAACACATTGATCTTGAGCTCTGATTTACAGCCTGACTCACTGTTGTACTCTGTTCACTGCTGGCAGCAGACCAATCAGATTCCTCTCAAGCTGGCAGTCACAGTTGTTCCACAGAGAAAATAAAGTAATTTCACCCGCAGCAGACTGGCAGCCATTACCAAAATGAATTATAGCAATTACAAAATCTCAGAATGTAAACTAATACATGATGTAGCCGTGTTTTTTTTTCCACTAAGCTGGCAAACACTGTTAAAGACTCTGTGGGCCTAAACATGATGTGTGTTCAGCATATCCTCCTCCATGTTCGTCTGTTCATGTTCATGCAAGCTTTTATTTTATGCATGCTGAGCAAATGTTAAAATGGCGTATGCACAAAACAACACAAACCCTGTCAACAAAAAAAAAAAGAATGAGAGATGCAGTCACTGCCTCTGAAATATGATTGCTTTGCCTTATCACAATGCACACCAGCTGCTCTCCAGGCAATTCACGCTGCCTGTTTGACACCAGGTCATTAAGAAACAAAGACGGATGGTGTTTCACCTCGACACACGACCACAGTACCGAACATGTAAATAAATTAGACGTCTCAAAAAAAAAAGGTGAAGTATTATTGCTGAGGAACATGGAGATATATGAAATCTGTCATAGTTTCTCCTTTTTATTGACCGTGGTTTGAGAGTGAATAATTGTGGTCTTTGGTGCTCAAGCTTGTAGCAGTGGAACTAATGATCAACATGGGGACAGAGAATGCAGTTTGTCATTGTTATGGCTGAAGCTGGTGGCTCCTGACCGAGGAAGTGGACGACTGAATTGGAATAGAGTGGAGTTCTGGCGTCAATGAAGGTTTTAGCACCATGGACAGCACCATGCAGTTTAAGAGGGAAGCCCTGTCTTTAAGAGAAACCCTTTGTATCTTATCTTTTCAGTCTTTCTTTTAATTGTCACATTAGAAAAAGGGAAACATGATTATTGAATCATATTTAAATGTACTGTTTAGCTGTCATATAAGTATTTATAATCTTAATATCTTCAGTGTGTCTGGATAATGTCCATATCTTCGTTCCATTCCCTTCCTGCTTTCTTTCCTTTCTGCCTCACTATGTTTCCATTGAATATCCCCACTCGCTTTTAAATGTGGCTGATATAGGGGTATAAATCAGAGCCAGCCCTGACATGGAGACTCGTAGGACTGGCCAAGGTAAAAACAGGTCTCCCAAAGGCATCTTGGAAAAAGGAATTATATCATAATGGAATCTGGCTGTCGTGAGCCTCCTCTTGGCTGGAGGCAATACACGAGGACCTGGGCAGGAGGCAATCGAGAGGAGGGTAATAACACTTTGGGGAAACCATTCCCTGAATATTGTTTATGATAAACTTAATGGGCTATCAAATTTGTTTTTCGGTTCATGGGCTTTTCGGAAAATAAAAACCGGACCCACTTTTGGTGCCAGATACTACGAGGTAGGACAGCAAGACAGATGTTAATACTGAAAAAGGAAAAAGTATATTTAAAAAAACCTGAAATATTGGAAAGTGAGGAATGCATATGGATATCTGTGTGTCCTTGACTACAACAGATGATGATAGAAATATTTGAAAATGTTGAACTGTGATGCATGATAACGGTAGCAGATTAACTCTTTTTGATCAAGGAGTGATCAAAAAAAAGACAAGACGTTTGAAAAGACAACACACGCACTCATACCAGACATACACCTCACAACTAAATATGATTCTTCTTAAAGGCTTAAAATAACCCTGTTGGAAGGGTGACGATGGCGGTGTATCCAGGCAACAGAGGACTACTGATTCGGTTTCCATTGGCTCCATCCCACCACTCAATCACACAGGAGTGACCCTGCACACAAACACTAGCAAACAATAATAATGAAAGGATCACGGGAGATCAAAAAAAATCTGTGACATGTGTGGAGCTATGGCCATCATGCATCAACAGGGTTAAAGACCACTGTGAAATCTTCCCTGTCACTGCTCGATCGTGTGCTGTGCAGAGTGACATGATGGCATCTGTCTTTTTAAAGCTGACGTAAGCCTGAGTGTAAAGCCTCTCAAGTCAGTACAAAAAGAAAATGAGCAGCAGAAAAGTTCCTCTTACAGTATACTTGCAAATTAGCATTTTTTAAATGGGGCACACATACGCACAATACACCCTTCATGCTCTAAAACCCCCAACACCTGGGACAGATGGCATGGCATTATGGGAAAGTCTTAGCTGATTGGTTAGAGAGGAGCGATCGAGGAGGGGGCTGGAGGCTGACAGGTGTGTCCTGCTTTATTTCTGTTTCTGCCTCTGCAGGAGGGTTGTTGAGATGTTTAAATTGAATGCTACAGCACTTTGTGTTTTTTTTTTTTGGCATGTTACTGACAAAGGCACTGTTTACTGCGCTGAGGACTGCTCGATGAGAAGCTTCATCGTTTTTTCCATTGTGTGATTTATCTGCTATTCTGTGCAGGTCAATGTTTCTTTTCTGTGTCCTCTGTCTGTACAAAGACGGTGGGCAAAAATAAACGCTCTGACGGCTGCTCATTGCACAATGGCTTTGATTGACCCTATTGCTGTCACCATGGCAATATGAAGACGGCTAATGGTGGTTGCTCTAACGACTCTGGTAGTCTTCATGTGCATGTCGTTTAATGCAAATGCTTTTTCACAATGTTGTGATCTTATGATGGTGTTGAATGATGAATTTGGATAATAAAACCAATAGAGCATGAAGGCAGGTAAGGAAAACTAAAAAAGAGGTTTTTTAATGAAACATAAAGTATGACACTAAATAATAAGTGAGCAGGTTTTCCTACCTGAGTCAGAACTGTACATGTAGACAAACTTGGTCCACCCGTAGTGGTCGATCACTCCCACCAGAGCATCCTGCAGCTCGGGCCTCAGCTGGATGACGAACTGGTTGGCCGTCTCGATGGGGAAGGAAGGTGTGACGAAGCAGACATGCAGCGCTCCACAGAAGGACATGAGCATGTTGACCGTCTTCCGGTCATACAGGCCAATGATGGCATACACACCTTTGGAGAACTGGGAGCAAACTGCCAGAGAGAGAAGAGAGAAAGGGCACATCAAGAAAGTTAGTATTTGGAGTGAATGATGATAATAATAATTACTCAGACTGAAAGTGAACGCCTGGGTGAAATTAGATGAATACATCTTCCTCCCATCAAAAAGCACTTCCCACTTTAGTGCACATAAAATCTCTGTACAAGAAACCATAAATGATGAAGAAAAAAATGTCAAATTTGCAATGATTGAGGTTGAAGACTTGACTGCATAACCCAGCTCATACCTTGAAGTACACAGTCACACAAAAAATAAATGTTGGTCATGTGTCTTACAGTCAGAATTGAAATTGAGTCACCAAAACTCTGTTTACAGCATCTATAAATGTGTCCATGTGAGCAGTGATGTCACTTCAGCAAATATAAAACTAAAACCGGTTTGAAACTGTTATTATTGACAGGACAGAGGAACTCTCCTGAGAGGCCTGATAGACTTGAATCATCAAAAATAAAAACACAGCTCTAGTGGAGCTCAGGGTTTATAGTCCCACTAACTGTGTGGGACCTTTGGGATGTTCGAACACACATCTCAATAGTGAATATAAGATTCTGACTGATCCTGTCAGCGTGTCTGGAGATCTTACTTTAATGAAGTTACAGCGCTGTGCGTCTAGCACGGATTCTGCTACGATGGGATCACTGCAGGTGTCTGATAAACTCAGAAATACCTGCAACCCACCAGCTTTCAATCAGAATTTTAAATCTCATGACGCCGTTTACCCAATCCATAGTTACATGACTGCAATCAGCGCCTCACCACGTGAACTGTGGCTGAACAAGAGGGAACATGAACATGTGTGTCAGCCTTCACTCCAAACTGTATAATCCAGAAGGGCCTGGTTAATTAAAAAATCTGTAAATACGTCTGAGTCCTCCTCTCCATCTTCTGACTCTAAATGCAGTACATACTAGAGTCCAAGTTTGAGTCACAAGTGCACAAGCCTGAGTCAAGTCCGAATCCTGTACTACAACACTGCTTACAGTCATAAGACGCCTTCACTATTTGAAGGCTTGTCATATAGATAGAGAAAAAAGATGCATTAATTTGAAGCTGCAAAGATTATTCAAAATATGGACTCTGCAGTGGATTTCATTTTAAAGATACGCTGCTCTACTCGTCTCAAATTGTTGAATATTCTTTTAGAGATTGAAAGCTCCCCAGGGACGTCCGCTTGGGCTCTGAGATATTATGAAGATCAATTCCACAGTAAGTAGGTGCTTTACAGAAGAAACAACTCATCATTGAGCCCGCAATCCTTTTGGTCGTGTCAATAACAGAAACACTCACTGATGACAGCCTGATATTGAAAAAGAATGATGTGTAATGAGTCGAGCTACGCTAAATTGAAGTAAATTGAATTTTTTATCATTGACGTTTCATTCACTTTGATTCCCAAATGTATAAAAAGGAGGCAACTTCTCGTATTGAAGAAGAAGACTTTATGAGAGAAAGAGACGATAAATATCTACTTTTGGATTTTCAGTTGAAACCATCTCTGACAGCTTCGTCCTTTCAGCTACTTAGTGACATGTTTATGCTAATCTGACCAGTTTGTCCATCTGTGTACCAGCAGTGTGTGTGTGTTTGCCTCCAGTGAGAGGTGGAGGAGGTGAAAGCAGATTAGGAGCAGAGAGGTTAATCAATGCATCCCTGGAGTTCCTCTGACATTTCACTTGCAGCAGGAGGCTCCCGTCTCTTATTTGCTTTCCTCCCTCGGTCTCTGCATTTTGTCTTTGTCTCACTGTCTGCATGTCAATCCGACTGTCTCCACACCCTCTTATATCTTTAAATAGCTCATACGTGATCACAGTCCTCTCTCTGGAAGGTGTGTCCTCTTCTGCGATTTTTAGCAAGGCATGCTATCTTTGCCCTCTCAGGTCTGGTCTGGGCTATTTTCCACCGTGGCGATGGGTGGGCCTTACTTATTGCAGTATTTACCAAACAGATTGAAGTCGCTGCCTGTCCCTGTGTGACGGCCAAGCTTGCTCCTAGGGGCCGAGGGAAAGACAGAGCAAGGATGGCCGGTACCCAAAACGCCTAACCATGTCACAGACCTGCACCCTCCGGGCAGGCACGTGTGTGTGTCTGCGTGTGTGTTGGACGGAGATAGGGAGAGAGAGAGAGAGAGAGAGAGAGAGAATTTCAGCGGCATCACAAATAAATACATGTGCACACACATGAGCTCACACACACATATGCAGTCTCTAGTGCTCCAAAAGCCTGGTGAGTCACCCTACTTAAAGCGAGCCCTGAAATAGACATTTTTGAGCCTCGCCACACTGACTCAGTAACAGAACTATCTTTCCTTCATGGTCTGCACACGCTCGCGCTATTAAATCGACACTCACTTTTGCTTTCCTCTAGCATACATTATATTTCCCCTTACAATTTTCTAGGACCAATTTCAGCCGTGGCCTCCATGTTCTGTCTGGATAAAAGGTAATGAGAGCTTGTTTGACTTTTTGTGCAGTGTCCCATTACTCTAGGCCTGCAGCAGGTAAACCAGGTTTTCACTGAATGTGAGTCACTGCTCATACCTGCAGTAATATCTGTCTGAAAAAGAAAAACAAAGAGAAAGAAAACATGCAGCCATGTGGCACAGACCTCCTGCTCTGAGCTGGCAGGAGAAGCATGCCTTCGTCTAATTCGACAAGAGCCTGACACAGAACATTAGTGTAACTCAGCGGTCTGTGCTCCGGTCCAGATAGTAGCGTCGAGGAGTGTTGAGTGTGTTTGTGTGCGAGAGGCGGCTTGTTAGTGCTGCTCCACATGTGTAAAGACATCGCAGGCCCAGCCGAGACACCTAAAGTGATCCCGAAGACCCCAGCAACACCTGTCCTCCCTGGCATGCCGTGTCTCCTCGCCACGGTTACATCTGCCACGGCGGCAGGACGGAGGTTGCCCCGGCAACGATCTGTTTCTCTGGCAGGGATTACAGTGGGCTCAGAGCTGCTAAAGGACGTCTGCAAGATGAAGTGGGAATTGTGAGTGTTTGGACAGTTTGTCATAATTAGGTCTCTCCTCAAGGAATTAGCAAATTTGCAAAAACTGACTTGGCTTTGCTAAAATCCTTAGATAGCTCCTGGTATAATGGAGCATTTGCTGCGCATTTCCCACGGCATCACATTTTTATTTACACTCAAACAAAACATAATCATTTTCCAAAAGCCGACAAAAGTCTTCAGTGTGTGCATACAGATGACGCCGGAAAGCTCACTGGAACTGTCTCCTGACTTGAAAATTTCAGCCTTTCTAAACTTTTCCCTGTGAATGAACAACCACATTTGCATACGATTTTGTATTCGGTGTGGCCGAAGAGTTTTGGGCCGCAGGAAAAGAGCGAAAAACACTGAAATCCTGAAGGGACAGATACTCGCACAACAGGAGGAGCTGTCAGGAACAACTCATGCAGTTTCTGTCTTCCCTGGTCTCTGTTTCCTGTGCCCTGCAGCTGTTCCTCTGCTTAGCGTGAGCCAAATATCAAATGACAGACATGTCTGTGCCGGCTGCACAAAGAGGGCGTGTTTGTGACAGTTGTTCCTACATCTGAAATTGTGGAGGACGGGAGGGCTGCATCCTTTAGAGAACCCGTAAATATTTTAATCCCCGTACAAATTCACACAATGCTCTTAGAAAATAAAGGCTGAGTGTGACTTAATACTACTTTTTATAACGATGCTGTAAAAACAAATAAAAAAGGGACTTAGCTTGAACCAGGATTCATCAAAAAAGCACTAATGTTTTTTTACATTTTGCAAAAAAAAGAGAACATTTCCTTTATCAAAGGCAGAACATTTTTCAAAGAAATAGGTCAATGCCGGTCAATATTTAGGCAAAATGCTTCAAAGATTCAAGGTGCCCTTGTGCATTTACCTGCCTCCAATCTGCTCCACTGGAGCTATTCAAAACCTGAGTATAAGACCGTGGTATTACAGAACAGCGCCTAGTGTCTGAGCGTGTGTGGTTCTTCTTTCAATATCTCTGCATTGCTTCATTTGTCAAAAAAAGAAATCAATATGTTGAGTTGTTGTACTGAGTGCTGTCATAAAACAATGTTTAAATGTAGATTTGGGGAAGCAACAACCAGGTTTGCAATCAATATGAGGGAGGTATTCGGATGTGCTGTTCCTGTACACTCGTGTACACATGGTCTCCTGGGTTTACTGTGACCGCCATGCAAACCACAAATTCTGATACGGATGATATTTACATTATATGCCTCCTTAATCCGACACACACACAGGAGGAGGAACATAGGGCTTCTACAATTTTCTTCCCCTGGGACTTGCATGCCATTATCTTGTGCAACATTAAGGTCAGCAGTACAGAGGGAATTTCACAGCAGCAGGAAGCTGGGTTCAGCTGGAGGGAGAGTGCTGTTTGCAGGGTTCTTGTTCAACCAACCATAAAGGTCCTTTTTTTATTTTATTTAAAAGAGCCCCACTACTGAGGGCTGACATGTCGGGTGACTCCACAAAAATAGGCAATGTTGCTCATCTAAACAACGAATCAACTTTAAAATCAAGCTCTACTCTTTGTGTTGTTGCTGTGCAGCTTGGAAGAAATCGTTTGTTTTTTTCTTGAGGTGTGAATCACGTTTTTTTTTTTATTCCTTTGGGCCTGGATGAACAAAGACCGTGGGATGGAAGAGTGAGCAGCTAAATCCAGTCCCACTTTTTCTCCACAGCAACATAACCCAGCCTGATTGATTCCCAGAGTCACACACCACCCTTACACACAGAATCTCACTCCTGCTAAGACAACTGAGTTTTTACTGTCCATCCAATGTCACCTCTACACGACAAGACTCGAGGGTTTATGACAGATGCTTGGGGAGGTCAAATCTGTTTTTAAATTTCAGCCAAGCTGATAGCAAAGTGGGACTAAACAAGGACGACCAAAGGTCTTTATGTTGAAGAGTTCCAATTAATTATTTGCAGTATTGACTCTATATCTTATTTTCCGCTGACTA